GCACAAGTCAAAGACCGCAGGCATTGGCCGAATGTCACCTTGCAGAAATGTGTGCTGAAACAATATCCCAGTTGTTCAGTGGAGTCGGCTTTCCCATTTCGTTTCGAATCGGGTTCAAGGATTCCCCATTAGATGGTGCAACTGCGAATTGTACTTATTTGTCGATTCACGTACTTGTGTAGATCCCTCCGCCCATGTATTGTTGTTGTTTGTTTGTTTGTCTGTTTGTCTGTTTGTCTGTTTGTCTGTCTGTTTGTTTGTTTGTTTGTTTGTTTGTTTGTTTGCTAAGTGTGTTTGTTTGTCGGGCACCCCCCAAAACGGCTTCCCGGTTGCTCCCAGGGTCGAACCGGGGGCAGTTGGGGCCTATAGCTTTGCGCCCAGAAGAGCGGCGTGGGCACGGCGGAGCAACTGGAGCGGTCGGAGCCCCGGCTCGGCGGGTCGAGCTCGAAACCATGGCTTTGTTGCCCAGTGGCTTGCTTCCTTTTTTCAACTTTTTTGGGTTTTTGGCTTCCCCTTTAAACTCGACCAACCAAATAAGGGTGCCCTTTTTTGCCCATGGCCACTGGGCATCTAAGATGGAACCCAAGAGGAGAGACATGGTCTTGCAGAAAACTCCAGTCAGGTTCCAGAGTACGAGTACCCCCTGATGTTGATTGAGCCGCCTTTTGACGCCTTAGCCAGAATATGCTAGCCGAGGAGAGCCGTATGCATTTAGTCATCAGCGTATGATGTGCTGGTGCTCTTGTGGTCCTTGTTTCTATTGTTCTTTGCTTATTTGTTTCGCTTGCTGCTGGGTTTCTTGTTGACACGTGCTTTGTGTTCATGTTTGAAAATTGAATCATTGACAGCGTGGCTCCCATTTGTGAGCCACAGCACCCTGGCAACAACTGGGCAAAGCTAGTTAGACGCGTGATGTGTGTCTGTGTGTGAGTGTGACTGTGACTGTGAGTGTGTGTGTGTATGTCTCAAGGCGTGTCCAGCAGACGTGGACCATTGTGGGGGGGGCGTGGTATGCTTTGAGATGTTGTGCATACGACTGAACGCATTTTGGACAACCACAGGTTCTACATTTTCAGTTGGACAACTACGCATTTGTAGAACCAAAATATTGTGGTATGCTTCAGGTTCTACATGTTGGAACACTACGAAACCTTGATGGTCAAAGGCCTATTGGATCTCATGCAGGTCTTTGGTGGTTGTCACCTCCTAGTGTTGCTTTGATTCCACACTGCACTGAGCGGCCCTCCCATTTTGCCCTTGCAAGGAAATCCTTCCTGGCAATCATGAGACATTGTCTAGGGATCTTACTATCTTGATTGGTGGCATCACTTGACTCATCATCATAGTTCCGCTGCTCTGTTTTGACTTGTTGCTTTGTTGTCGCCTTTGTAAACCTAATCCTAACCTTCTTTGCCAGCGAGTCTATAGCTGCTGTCAGTTTCTGGATGCTGGCTCCACTTGTGTGCATAAGCGTCCTTTTTGGGTTAGCTTGATTAGAAATAGTTGGCACTGGCTTAGATGGGTTTCATTCCATTTACCAGGGCCATCTATTTTCCAAAAAGGAAACCTATGCTTGTGTGTCTCATCTTGGTTGGTACGACTGATTCTTGCGTTGTTGTCCAAGATGGATTCGGCCAGGTGCACGCAGCACTTTGTCCAGAGGGCGGAGGAGGCGAAATTTTGAGCGCACAAATCGCGGCGACATTCAAATGGGAGCTTCGTGTTGCGCGGATGGGAGCAGGTAGTCCCGACCATGAGGGTTGGTGGCTTGGTTGGATGGTGGCTAGCTTGGTGCCTTGGTGGGCTTGGTGGGCTTGGTTGGTCGGATGATTGCTTGGTTGATATTATTTGCTGGGGAGTGTCTGAATTTGAGGTTGTGGGCAGTGAAATCCTGCAAAGTTTGCGCTGATGAGCTGCTTCTTTGTCTTGAAGTTACAACACATGGCTGCTTTGAACGGCAAGCTCAAGGAGTAGAATTCAGCCTCGCTGTTGGGATCAATCCGATTTTGTGAACAAAGGGAGGACATATAGGACATACATGTTGACTCGACCGCATGGCACTTGTTTGCCCATCATTGCGGAACAAGACAACAGCAACACAAGGGCTTGGGATAAGATCGATTTTATATCGCAGATTTGTTTGAAACTTTTGTTTACCCACCAAGGTACGACTTGGATGGTTCGATGTGTGGGCTATGTGCTAGGTTTTTCCTCGCCAGGTCGGAGGTCACAGGCGCAAGGCGGTTCCAAGCGCCCGCCAGTTCGAAGTGCAGCACATCTCCAACATCGCTTTGCCCTCGGCATCGGATGTGCCAACTCACTGGTCTGGGTGGAAATGTTCGGAAGCCAAGGTGGACTTGATTGTTCCTTTTGCTGGTGATGCTTGCACTCTGCTCATTCGAGCAGGGGCAAAGGTATGGCACTGCCATTTGCCAGCCATACGCCTTCGGATGCTTTAACAGCCCCGAACCCAAAAAAATGACAACGACAGAATGTCGTGATTTTGGACAGGGCAGAAACCACGGCAGCTCGCTCTGAGAAGCTCATTCTGCCAGAGCGCTGATCTCTCAAGACGGGCAACTTGTAGATCCCGCGGCGCCAAAGCGATGCGCGCCTCCATTTGCAGGGCCGTTGCCTCAGTTGACGGATGTCCAAAGCCTTTAACAAGGTACCATGTGAGGTATGAATTTGAAGAGAGCGTGGTTTCCTGCTCCTTGTCCCATTTGTGCTGACCGGGGCGTTCTCAGGTGCTCATCGCTTTGTTCGCAGCGTGGCTGCAATAGTTTTCCAGAAGTTCAGCAGCTGGGTTCTTTCTGGGGGGTACCCTCTCCCCACAGGCATGGTGCACAGGCTCCTCTTCGAACGGGCCATCCAAGCTTCCACCAGGGGCCTACAACATACTCGTTGAGACGCTCGTGTGGCTTGAGTTTGCCAATGCCTTTGCAGTTGCTGTGAATCTGACAACACGGGCCGGTGGCATCCGGTGACACTTTTGTTTGACGCAGATACTTGGACTGCTAAGCCCCCAAGCTTGGTTTGGCCCGGGTATTTCCGAAGCTTTGCCTTTTTGTCATTCATGCTTGATTTGTGCGACTGTGCAATTAAGACTTGCCTTGCAGGTCAGAGCGCCCCAATCGTTGGAATTGCTTTAATAACAGAACTTCTCCGCTTAGCAATCTTGGAAGGGCATTGCAGGTTGACTGGGATTTTCTCAGGTCTTACTGAGGCCTGCGTGCCTGCGTGCCTGCGTGCCTGCGTGCCTGCGTGCCTGCGTGCCTGCGTGTCTGCGTGTCTGCGTGTCTGCGTGCCTGCGTGTCTGCGTGTCTGCGTGTCTGCGTGTCTGCGTGTCTGTGTGTCTGTGTGTCTGTGTCTCTGTGTGTCTGTGTGTTTGTGTGTCTGTGTGTGTGTGTGTCTCTGTTTGTGTGTGTACGTGTCACTGTGCCTGTGTGTCTGTGTGTGTGTGTGTGTGTCTGTGTCTGTGTCTGTTTGTGTGTGTACGTGTCACTGTGCCTGTGTGCCTGTGTGTCTGTGTGTCTGTGTGTCTGTGTCTGTGTGTGTCTCTGTTTGTGTGGTACGTGTCACTGTGCCTGTGTTCGTGTTTGCGCGTGTCAGTGTCGCCCAGGGCCAGGGTTAGAATCAGCCAATGTCACTGTCGGTGTCTGCGCGTGCGCGTGTCCGCATGACGCGCGATGCGCGTCCGCGGGCGCGGGTGTGTACGGTGTAGGCGTGGGCACCGGTTTGGGGGGGGGGGGGTGCGAGTGCGGGTGCGGGCGCGGGTCGGTGGGTGTGCAGGCTCAACCCCAGGCTTCAACATTCCGGAAATTTGCGCAGATTGAACTGCATGAGTTTGTTCCAACCCAAGGCCGCAGCCAAGGTGCGTGGGGCGCAGGTGTGTTTGCGTGTGGGGTGTGAGGCCTCAATCGCAGTAAGCAGCCACGCAGACACGCAGACACGCAGACACGCAGACACGCAGACACACAGACACACAGACACACACACACACACACACAGAGACACACACACACACAGCCACGCACAGACACACACAGACACACACAGACACAGACACAGACAGACACACACACACACAGGCACAGACAAACACACAGACACAGACACAGACACAGACACAGACACAGACACACAGACACACAGACACAGTGACACGTACACACAAACAGACACAGACACACAGACACACAGACACACACACAGACACACACACACTTCGGCCACAATTGTTTGTGTCAGTGTGTTTTCGTATTGAGATTTGGGCGAATGAGGCGCCCTAAAAGGGCGTTGTGTCAGGAGGGTCTTATTGCAGGCAAAGTTTGACAACTACAAAGAGGTCAAAGTCCTACAACGTCTCACGGATGAATATCTAAGGCCAGCGGCATCGCTTTTGCACCTCCCCCACCTGGCCGGCACTTGCGTCGACGGAAGCTCGCGCAGGCGGGAATGCCCTTGCAATTTCCGCCCAATTTGTTTGTTCGCTGCAGCGGATCATTAAGGGGAAGAAGCAGAGGCAACATAAGCCCAGGTGGGCAAATCTCCGACCCGCTCCAGAGTCCTCCAGAACCTCTGAGTGCCTGGCGTTGCTAATATGGTATCCTGTGGGTGAAACTCTCCAACAGCACCCTGGATTCAAACAAATGGGAGCTGTGGCGCAAGGGCAGCGCATCATCCCTACCACCTCAAGGGATGGCGGTTGAAGGCTTGAGTCCTTCCAGCCCTATGCTGGCCTTCTTCCAGTTCTCCGGCTCCAAAGAGAGCTTTGGGCAGCATGGCGATCAGCTTCCAAAACAAGTCCCATCCATGGAAGCTTGTGGCTAGTTGGTTTTGGACTTTTGACTTTTTGGGAAACAGGTCGGATGTTCCAGTGGGCGCACGGAAAGTTGAACTTTTTGCAGAGCGGTCAACAGCAACCAAGGGAATATTAGTGTCGCAGAACTGTGCCGCCAGAATCCCTTCGCACCGGCCCTTGCACCCAGCTCCGCAGGACTTGGAACACCATGGCGCCGCAGGCTCGGTAAGGTTCCTTCATTTTGCCCCAATCATCTTGTCATACAGCTCGCAGACCTGGCAGGTGTCCCTAGATACGATGATATTTCAGATAGTGATTCTGAAGATGGCAGGTGGGCCGCCTTTTGGTGAGATGTAAGGGAGGAGCAATGGGGAACATATAGCCTGCACAGCAGCACTTACTGCCTGTCTCAAATTTTCGTCAGCCGGATCTTGCGGCTTCCGATGGTTCCGGCCAGGTGACGCGTTTCAGGGGGTGACGTTCCGGATGCTGCCAATGTGTCGGCGCCCAAGCCCGGATTCGGGTTTCGTGATGAGGTCGAAAAGTGATTTGTTGCTGGTTTCTCTTGGTATTGTGGGGAACTAGCATTGTGCAGTACTTTGATACTGTATTGTTGTCGGTTGCACTTTTCAGGAATGCTCCCGTACATGGTTAGGAAACAGCAGCAAAATATGTCTGACATGGGTGGTTCGCATTGGGCTTTCCGAAGCATGAACCCCAAAAGTTTTTAAAATTATACATTCAAACAAGGACTCGAGCTTCCGGCTTGTGGATGTGGGAAACAGCAGTGGCAGGCAGCTGGCAAGTACCTACACCCGAGGGGCTAGGAGTGGCCATGGACCCTGTTCTTGGAGAGGTGCAATGATGCGATTTGGTTTGAAAAACGGAGCTATGTGGCCCACGTGGCCAGTTGCAGGACAGATTTGGGCGGAATCGCTTGGCAAGAGAGAGAGAGAGAGAGCTTGCCTTGAGGCCTAGCCGCAGCCTTATTGGTCGCACCTGCTTTTGCTTTGTCGCCGCAGGCCTGCGCTGAAAGCCGCTTCGAAGTGGTAGGTCTGTACCGTGCAGCACTTCCCCATGAACCCATGCAGATTGCCTCTGAGGGGACGCATTTTACGGATGGCGTGAAGGCAACCGCAAGGGATACCAGTGAATGTTGCACAACCTTCATGACAAACCCACAGATGGCTTGAATTGCGCAGGCAACCCACCAGATGCCGGCAGACTCGGCAATATTCCCATGTCCTTTTGGGAAAACACTTGCAATGGCTGATTATGTTGAAAAAGATTTGGGCCAAGCTTGGGAACGAGGTTCGTTTTCCAAATCTGGCTTGGGCCGTCACGATTCTTGGTACCTTTGCAACATGCCCTTTGAATAACTTTGACATTAAGCAACCATGGGGACTAGAATCAATCACCTCGGTCTCGCAGACGGGGCCCAACGGAAGCACACGGTTTGCCAGGAACTTTTGGCGCAGGAGACGGGCGTCTCTGATTTGGGCAAGGGGTTGTGACCCTCAACGAAGCCACGCGCCCGTGAGGCTTCCTTTGGGGAAAAAAAGGCAAAGGCCCCCTTCTCCACCGAGAGGTTAGGATGTTTCACTCGCCCAGAAGGCTTTGTTGGGGAGTCGATCACCCCAACAGGAATCGGTTCTCCGGATTCCAAGCGCAGACCATCTACGACGGCAACGCCATTTTGGCCCCCCAAGGGGAGCATGCTATGAGCTTCCTGGTGGTTTCCGTGGGCAGTGGCAGCGCATTCCCGGCCAAACTGGGGACATGGGCTCCTTCTGAAGGGCTTGGCCCGCTTGGCTCGTGAACTGCAAGTTGGCCAATGCCCTGCGTCAGTGGATCAAAGGAACCCCAAACTAGCCATACTCAGGTTACCCTGGACTCCATGCATTCGGTGGAATCTCCTTTTGAGGGACCCTCTTTTTGAGCTCGTGGATCTGGCGGTGTAACAAGGATAGCGTCTCCTTGGCTTGCAGGGGTCTCTCATATCCCTTGCGAGGAAGCGCAAGCACGGAAGGCCGCCAAGGCCGCCCCGGACCCGTCTTAGTGCGCGAAGCTCATCCCTTGGAGCTTGGGTCCTTGGGGTTTGTTGAGTCCCATGAGTCCCCGAATAGTGGGAAGGACCTATGCGCAGGCTTGGTGAGCTTCGGGATCGAATCAAAGTGGTCTACTTCCGACCGGGGACATTCTCTCATGCCACACCCGGGTTCGCTTGCGCCAGCCCGGCAGGGCTGCTACTTGACCATCGAGGGCAAGAGGCAAGCGGAATGGAGAGAGCAGGCTTGAATGTTGGAGTCGAATGGGCCGCAAGATGGTGTTGTTGCCTGTGAGTTTCCGTTTAGAACCAGCCCAAACAAAATTGCCCTCGAAAAAGACATTCAAATGACAGCGGGCTCAAGATGTTCAGGAGAAAGACGAGTTCAAGTGTGATTCTTGCAGGACCCTTCATGTGACTCGTTCAATGTTGGGACT